TTTTGTTGATATATATATCTATATAAAATGGAACTTAGACCTATTTTTGGTAGATCAATTAAAGGGCGATTTGAGTAGGATCATTGATACACATTTGTTTCACTAATTCATTGTAAATATTTACAATTTTATGCTATTATTTTCCATGTGTGGGCCTATTGGTGGGTATGAATAGGAGCTGCATCGTATGGGCCAATAGGCCTTCTGCAGTTCTTAGGCGGCTAATATGCGGCCTTTTATTTGTATCCACCTAATTCAGATTCATTTGTCATTGTACCTCACCTCACTCCACCACTCTCTCCTGCCTATATATATGTCCAATACTTGACCTGTAAATCACTCCTTCTGAAGATGTATTAATATACGAAAGTACTTAAGGAAATTCCTGTTTCAATTCTTCCTCTGTGGTCTGACACTTTCACATTTTTAATCATGTGTTTATTTTTCGTGATTTACACACACACATTATAAATATATATATATATATATATATATATATATATATATATATATATATATATATATATATATATATATATGTCGTACCTAGTAGCCAGAACTCACTTCTCAGCCTACTATGCAAGGCCAGATTTGCCTAATAAGCCTAGTTTTCATGAATTATTGTTTTTTCGACTACCTAACCTACCTAACCTAACCTATCCTAACTTTTTCGGCTACCTAACCTAATCTAACATGTAAAGATAGGTTAGGTTAGGTTAGGTAGGGTTGGTTAGGTTCGGTCATATATCTACGTTAATTTTAACTCCAATAAAAAAAATTGACCTCATACATAATGAAATTGGTAGCTTTATCATTTCATAAGAAAAAAATTAGAGAAAATATATTAATTCAGGAAAACTTGGCTTATTAGGCAAATCGGGCCTTACATAGTAGGCCGAGAAGTGCGTTCTGGCTACTAGGTACGACATATATATATATATATATATGTCGTACCTAGTAGCCAGAACGCACTTCTCAACCTACTATGCAAGGCCCAATTTGCCTAATAAGCCAAGTTTTCATGAATTAATTGTTTTTCGACTACCTAACCTAACCTAACCTAACTTTTTCGGCTACCTAACCTAACCTAACCTATAAAGATAGGTTAGGTTAGGTTAGGTAGGGTTGGTTAGGTTCGGTCATATATCTACGTCAATTTTTACTCCAATAACAAAAATTGACCTCATACATAATGAAATGGGTAGCTTTATCATTTCATAAGCAAAAAATTAGAGAAAATATATTAATTCATGAAAACTTGGCTTATTAGGCAAATCGGGCCTTGCATAGTAGGCTGAGAAGTGCGTTCTGGCTATTAGGTACGACATATATATATATAAGTTTTCAGTTGCATGTATGCCTGGGGACCATTCAGGCTTGTTCGCATTTGTGTTCCTCACGTGTGCCCCAAAGAATGAGGTGATTGGATAAAATACTATGGCCAAGGTTACCAACAGAGTGCAGGCGGGCTGATGAGGAATTAGCATCGGCTACCATCATCTTTTGTCCGGTAGTGTTGGTCGAGTGGTTAAGGTGTCCTGTACGCCAGATGCAGAGTGCTCATGGCTGTATGGGTTCGAGTCACTTCTGGGGTGTGAGTTTTCAGTTGCATGTATGCCAAGGGTCCATTCCATTTAATATATATATATATATATATATATATATATATATATATATATATATATGTCGTACCTAGTAGCCAGAACTCACTTCTCAGCCTACTATTCAAGGCCCGATTTGCCTAATAAGCCAAGTTTTCCTGAATTAATATATTTACTATAATTTTTTTCTTATGAAATGATAAAGCAACCCTTTTCTCTATGTATGAGGTCAATTTTTTTTTATTGGAGTTAAAATTAATGTAGATATATGACCGAACCTAACCAACCCTACCTAACCTAACCTAACCTATATAAATAGGTAAGGTTAGGTTAGGTAGCCAAAAAAGCTAGGTTAGGTTAGGTTAGGTAGGTTAGGTAGACGAAAAAACATTAATTCATGAAAACTTGGCTTATTAGGCAAATCGGGCCTTGAATAGTAGGCTGAGAAGTGCGTTCTGGCTATTAGGTACGACATATATATATATATATATATATATATATATATATATATATATATGTGTGTGTGTGTGTGTGTGTGTGTGTGTGTGTGTGTGTGTGTGTGTGTGTGTGTGTGTGTGTAGAAATGTTCTTTTCTGCATAATCGCTAATCTCCAAAAGTTCTTCACCGATTACTTTGAAATTTTCACACAACGTTCCATTTGCATCCGAGCAGGTTTTTATATACATACTATATAGATGTCACGTCTGTGACGGTAAAAAAAAAAAACAGGCCTCTTCTGAAAAACTGTGTTTTTCATGTGAGGAGAAATCTTCGAAACCTCTTTACTGATTGTTTTTAAATTTTGACACAACATTGCATTTGAATAGTCGCATCTTTTTATATATCTACTATATACATGACTCACCTGTGACAGGAAAAAACATATTTTTTTTGAAAAACAGCGCCATCTGTTGGACGTAAGAGCAGCACACGCTGTAATCTCCGAAAGTTCTTCGCCGATTGCTTTGAATGTGTGACACAACGTTGCGTTCGAATAGGCGCGTCTTTTTATATACCTATTATATAGATGCCACCCCTCTGACAGGTAAAACCATCCGTTTTTGAAAAACAGCGCCATTTGTTGCACATAATAGCAACATGCACACTATACTTAATATGTCACGAATTCCATTTGAATGTTTCCAATTGCATTGATAAATTTTATTTTTATAGATTTTGATTTATTTTACTTTTTATTGAACTATTTTGTGTGACATTGTGTTGGAATTGAGCTGTGTTGTTTACCATACCGTTCATTTCATAAGTATAGATGCCACACCTGTGACAGGTAAAACTATGCTTTTCTTGAAAAACAGCGCCATCTGTTGCATGTAAGAGCGCAACCCGTTCTCGCAAATTTAATAAGTCAATATTGACTTATTAAATATGTGCATAGGTGACATACTTAACATAATAGTTTCCCTTGAAAAGCTTCATAGAAAACACCGACCTTACCTAACCTACTTAGTATGTTAAGATAAGCATCTTATTGCTTCGTAATTACAATTATTACCTAACCTATACCTATAATAGGTTAAGTAACAATTGTAATTACGAAGCTATAAGATGCTTATTTTAACACACTAAGAAGGTTAGGTAAGGTCAGTGTTTTCTATGAAGCTTTTCAAGGGAAACTATTATGTTTAGTATGTCACCTATGCACGCAACTAATAAGTCAATATTGACTTATTAAATTTGCGAGAACGGGTTGAAGAGCGACACACATACTATACTAAATATGTTACAATTCCCTTTCAATGTTTCTCATTGCATTGATAAATTGAATTTTCATAGATTTTGATTTATTTTCATTTTGATTTAATTATTTTGTGTGAATTGCGTTGGAATTGAGCTGTGTTGTTTACCATACCGTTCATTTCGTGAGTATAGTTTATTTTTGTATTTTTTCATATTTTCTTTTCGTTTTTAACTGTTTTTCTTATATTTCAGTGATGGGAACATCAGATCACTTGAGAAGGCATCGGACGAGGGAGTGGGGAATGGTGGGGATGACGAGGGGACGGAAGTGAGAGATGGTGGGGGAGGACGAGGGGGACGGGGGAGTTTGGGATGGCTCAGCAACGCGTGGCCGGGTACTGCTAGTATATATATATATATATATATATATATATATATATATATATATATATATATATATATATATATATATATATATATATATATATATATATATATATATATAATTACCTTAGGGGTTGTGGGAGGGAACATAAACAGCGCCGGTGATCGCGCTCTCCCGTTTTCTCTCAGCAATTTGTTTTAATGTCACACCATCAATATTTTATTAGACCATTTTGAGTAGATAACACTGAGTTCTGATTTGATATCACGTCCTTTTAGAGTGATAAACGTCATTCTGGACTGTTATCTTGGCATTTAAACAGACATTACGCCACTTTGACTTAGTAAAGCGAAATGACGAAGGAAATTTGAGTAGAAAAGTTACCGTCGTGTTTATCAGTGATACACGTGACGGCCAGGGTGTTGCCTGTACCTGGTGGCTAGTCTGTGGGAGGGGAAGGGCAGGGAGGGAGGGGGAGGGAGAGGGAAGGATAGGGAGGGAAGGAGGGAGACTGTTTTCCATCTCTAAAACATTCCTACCTTCCTTTCATGAATGTTGGCATTCATGAAACATTCATTCCTTGCCCCCATCCTTATGCTGACACCTTCCCAGTGCTATATGGTGGTAATAGCTTGGCGCTTTCTCCCCATAATTCTCTTCCCTTCGGTCTCCACCTACATCCTTCCCTTCCTCCCTCCCTACCACTCCCCTCTCACCCCATTGTCTCCCCTTGCTCCATGTTAGTGTCCCCTCACATAACCCTCACCCCGCCCCACCCTCACCGCCCCACGGGGCTCCCTGGCCCGCTACTCTTCCCCTCTGTTGCCTGCTCAACAACTCTCCAGTGCTGCATATGTTATTGACCCGTTAATAAGGGTTTCGGATTGAGGATTTCTCCATATTTATAAAACTTTCGGTGCTAAATTATCACACACATTTCCTGGGCTCGAGTGTAAAACAGGTATTTGAGAGGATGAGGTTCAACTGTGGGAATATCTGGAGGCAAGACGTGGATGAGCAGGTCGCAAATGGCTTGCCAAAACCCGGAGCGGTAATGTGTGGAAGACCTCGTGAATCACGATGAGCGGAGGTGCAGGGAGAGGGGAGACGGCAGGAGGAGGCAAGAGCAGAGTACACGGATGATGAGAATCAAGAGCAATCGCGATAGAAGGATGATAGGGAGAGAGAGAGAGAGAGAGAGAGGTGGTGTATGGGGACGTGTCGGGGTGAGAAGTGCCTGTGAGCGAGCGCGCAACTTGCTCACCTAAACTTACACACTAACACGCATTAATAATACATAGCATAGCATTGGGTATTATGTGCGAGTGTCACACGGTGGCGGCCACACCTTAGGGTCAGCACGGGGCCACACCTTAGGGTCAGCACGGGGCCACACCTTAGTGCCAGCACGGGGCCACACCTTAGTGCCAGCACGGGGCCACACCTTAGTGTCAGCACGGGGCCACACCTTAGGGTCAGCACGGGGCCACATCTTAGGGTCAGCACGGGGCCACACCTTAGTGCCAGCACGGGGCCACACCTTAGGGTCAGCACGGGGCCACACCTTAGTGCCAGCACGGGGCCACACCTTAGGGTCAGCACGGGGCCACACCTTAGTGCCAGCACGGGGCCACACCTTAGTGCCAGCACGGGGCCACACCTTAGGGTCAGCACGGGGCCACATCTTAGGGTCAGCACGGGGCCACACCTTAGTGCCAGCACGGGGCCACACCTTAGGGTCAGCACGGGGCCACATCTTAGTGCCAGCACGGGGCCACATCTTAGGGTCAGCACGGGGCCACACCTTAGTGCCAGCACGGGGCCACACCTTAGGGTCAGCACGGGGCCACACCTTAGTGTCAGCACGGGGCCACACCTTAGGGTCAGCACGGGGCCACATCTTAGGGTCAGCACGGGGCCACACCTTAGTGCCAGCACGGGGCCACACCTTAGGGTCAGCACGGGGCCACACCTTAGTGTCAGCACGGGGCCACACCTTAGGGTCAGCACGGGGCCACATCTTAGGGTCAGCACGGGGCCACACCTTAGGGTCAGCACGGGGCCACACCTTAGGGTCAGCACGGGGCCACATCTTAGGGTCAGCACGGGGCCACACCTTAGTGCCAGCACGGGGCCACACCTTAGGGTCAGCACGGGGCCACATCTTAGGGTCAGCACGGGGCCACATCTTAGGGTCAGCACGGGGCCACACCTTAGTGCCAGCACGGGGCCACACCTTAGTGTCAGCACGGGGCCACACCTTAGTGCCAGCACGGGGCCACACCTTAGTGCCAGCACGGGGCCACACCTTAGTGCCAGCACGGGGCCACACCTTAGTGCCAGCACGGGGCCACACCTTAGTGCCAGCACGGGGCCACACCTTAGGGCCAGCACGGGGCCACACCTTAGGGTCAGCACGGGGCCACACCATCCTCTCTCCTTGAAGACAATGAACAGGAACAAAGTCTCCAGTCACTAGACATGTCAGCCACACTGTGAGCCCAGTCATCTCTCTTAAGTGATGCGACACTCCGCAAGTGTCACACCTTCCCTCACTTACACTTACCTTTGTTGACACACTTACTCTACACTATATAATCAGTGTGGAGGTGACACACACACTGTGTAGGTGGATAGTAGTGTGGAGGTGACACACACACTGTGTAGGTGGATAGTAGTGTGGAGGTGACACACACACTGTGTAGGTGGATAGTAGTGTGGAGGTGACACACACTGTAGGTGGATAGTAGTGTGGAGGTGACACACACTGTAGGTGGATAGTAGTGTGGAGGTGACACACACACTGTGTAGGTGGATAGTAGTGTGGAGGTGACACACACTGTAGGTGGATAGTAGTGTGGAGGTGACACACACTGTAGGTGGATAGTAGTGTGGAGGTGACACACACTGTGTAGGTGGATAGTAGTGTGGAGGTGACACACACTGTAGGTGGATAGTAGTGTGGAGGTGACACACACACTGTAGGTGGATAGTAGTGTGGAGGTGACACACACACTGTGTAGGTGGATAGTAGTGTGGAGGTGACACACACTGTAGGTGGATAGTAGTGTGGAGGTGACACACACTGTAGGTGGATAGTAGTGTGGAGGTGACACACACTGTAGGTGGATAGTAGTGTGGAGGTGACACACACACTGTGTAGGTGGATAGTAGTGTGGAGGTGACACACACACTGTGTAGGTGGATAGTAGTGTGGAGGTGACACACACACACTGTGTAGGTGGATAGTAGTGTGGAGGTGACACACACACACTGTGTAGGTGGATAGTAGTGTGGAGGTGACACACACACTGTGTAGGTGGATAGTAGTGTGGAGGTGACACACACTGTAGGTGGATAGTAGTGTGGAGGTGACACACACACTGTGTAGGTGGACAGCAGTGTGGAGGTGACACACACACTGTGTAGGTGGATAGTAGTGTGGAGGTGACACACACACACTGTGTAGGTGGACAGTAGTGTGGAGGTGACACACACACTGTGTAGGTGGATAGTAGTGTGGAGGTGACACACACACACTGTGTAGGTGGATAGTAGTGTGGAGGTGACACACACACACTGTGTAGGTGGATAGTAGTGTGGAGGTGACACACACACTGTGTAGGTGGATAGTAGTGTGGAGGTGACACACACTGTAGGTGGATAGTAGTGTGGAGGTGACACACACTGTAGGTGGATAGTAGTGTGGAGGTGACACACACTGTGTAGGTCTTTGTATGAAGAGTCAGCTTAATTCAGCAGTCAAGAGCTCAGAATAACAGCGAGTCAGCTCAAATCACAGCTGTTCCCAATCTCACACCACAGCTGTTCAAAAATTGAGATCAGCAGCTATTCAGCTAGATGAGATTAGCAGCTTTACACACGCTGAGATTAGCAGCTTTACACTTGCTGAGATTAGCAGCTTTACACATGCTGAGATCAGCATATGTACAGTGAGAAGACTTGAGTACAGTGCTATACCATTACGTATATCGTCTCAGGGGATCGTCTCAAAGCTCTCAAAACCTACTCGCTAGCAAGAAGACGAGAGAGAAACGTTTTCAGTATACACTTTTTACATTTTAAACCATCGATTTTTAATACAATAAAGTTATAATTTGAGAATAATCTCTGTTTAGGACAGAGATTGGAAGACTCTGCAAGGCCAGGTTCCAACTATGCCCACACCACACTATGAACATCAGGGGGTCAATGGCTGTTTATTATCCTCTCAGGACGAGTTACAAATATTGCCAGTATATAAGTGGACGTGCCTAAGAGAACATTACACAGGTTGCTGTAAGCAGTGCCGGACCAACTATGTTGTTATGGATATTTGGGCCTGAAGGCCTCTCCAAGCAACAGCCTGTTGGACCAAGTTACTGCAAATCCGTGCCGGGACTGGAGAGAAAGAGAACTCCCAACACTCACTCCAGGTATACTCCAGGGAACTGGAATGTATACTTAAACCCTAGTGCAGTTATACTCAATATATTGAGTCTTTACTTTTACCCTGTCGTGAATAAAAGATAAAAAATGTAAAATTGTTCAGCTTTTAACTCACGACATTTCAGCTTTTACTCCTTTTAATCACAGGGCCTCGCGCACCATTTGGTTCAGGCAACAAGTGCAGACTTTTGTGTATTCTGATCATATCTTCTTGTCAAGAGGCGCTTCCTCGCATCCCAATACTTCAGTGAAGTGTAATGTATCCATGTGAGTGTCCGTGTGTGTGTGTGTGTGTACTCACCTAGTTGTGCTTGCGGGGGTTGAGCTCTGGCTCTTTGGTCCCGCCTCTCAACTGTCAATCAACTGGTGTACAGGTTCCTGAGCCTATTGGGCTCTATCATATCTACACTTGAAACTGTGTATGGAGTCAGCCTCCACCACATCACTTCCTAATGCATTCCATTTGTCAACCACTCTGACACTAAAAAAGTTCTTTCTAATATCTCTGTGGCTCATTTGGGCACTCAGTTTCCACCTGTGTCCCCTAGTGCGTGTGCCCCTTGTGTTAAATAGCCTGTCTTTATCAACCCTGTCAATTCCCTTGAGGATCTTGAATGTGGTGATCATGTCCCCCCTAACTCTTCTGTCTTCCAACGAAGTGAGGTTTAATTCCCGTAGTCTCTCCTCGTAGCTCATACCTCTCAGCTCGGGTACTAGTCTGGTGGCAAACAGGTTCCTGAGCCTATTGGGCTCTGTCATATTTACACTTGAAACTGTGTATGGAGTCAGCCTCCACCACATCACTTCCTAATGCATTCCATCTGTTAACTACTCTGACATTGAAAAAATTCTTTCTAACGTCTCTATGGCTCATTAAGGCACTCAATTTCCACCTGTGTCCCCTAGTGCGTGTGCCCTTTGTGCTAAATAGCCTGTCTTTATCTACCCTATCAATTCCTCTGAGAATCTTGAATGTGGTGATCATGTCCCCTCTAGCTCTTCTGTCTCCCAGTGACGTGAGGTTTAATTCCAGTAGTCTCTCCTCGTAGCTCATACCCCTCAGTTCGGGTACTAGTCTGGTGGCAAACCTTAGAACCTTTTCCAGTTTAGTCTTATGCTTGACTAGATATGAACTCCAAGCTGGAGCCGCATACTCCAGGATTGGTCTGACATATGTGGTATATAATGTTCTGAAAGATTCCTTACACAAGTTTCTAAAGGCCGTTCTTATGTTAGCCAATCTGGCATATGCCGCTGATGTTATCTTCTAGATATGAGCTTCAGGGGACAGGTCTGACATGATATCAACCCCCAGGTCTCTCTCTCTCTCTCAGACTCTTGTAGTATTTCATCTCCCAAATGAGACCTTGTATCTAGTCTCCTGCTCCCTACACCTATCGTCATTACATTGCATTTGCTTGGGTTAAACTCTAGCAACCAACTCTAGTTCGACAATTCCTGCAGCTTGTCTAGGTCGTCTTGAAGCCTCAAGCTCCCCTCCCCTGTCTTAATCCTTCTCATAATTTTGGCGTCGTCAGTAAACATTGAGAGGAATGAGTCTATACCCTCTGGGAGATCATTTACGTATATCAGAAACAGGATAGGTCCGAGTACAGAGCCCCGTGGGACTCCACTGATGACTTCACGCCAATCTGAGGTTTCACCCCTCACTGTAACTCTGCTTCCTATTGCTTAGGTACTCCCTTATCCACTGGAGCGCCCTACCAGTTACCCTTTCCTGTTTCTCCAGCTCCTGTCCATCAGCCTTTTATGCGGTACTGTGTCAAAGGCTTTCCGACAATTCAAAAAAACGCAGTCCGCCCAGCCTTCTCTTTCTTGCTTAATCTTTGTCACCTGATCGTAGAATTCTATTAAGCCAGTAAGGCAAGATTTACCCTCCCTGAACCCATGTTGATGGGCTGTCACTTTGTCCCTTGTCTCCAGATGTGTTACTAGGTTTTTCCTCACGATCTTCTCCATCACCTTGCATGGTATACAAGTTAAGGAAACTGACCTGTAGTTCAGTGCCTCTTGTCTGTCACCCTTTTTGTATATTGGTACTACATTAGCCGTCTTCCATATTTCTGGTAGGTCTCCCGTTTCCAGTGACCTACTATACACTATGGAGAGTGGTAGGCAAAGTGCTCCTGCACACTCTTTCAATACTTATGGTGAGATTCCGTCCGGGCCAACAGCCTTTCTCACCTCCAGATCCAACAGGTGCCTCTTGACCTCATCTCTTGTAATTTCAAACCCTTCCAAGGCCGCCTGGTTTACTGCCACCTCTCCTAGCGCAGTGACCTCTCCTTGTTCTATTGTGAAGACCTGGAACCACTTGTTGAGTTCCTCACACACCTCTGTCATTCTGTGTACCTGTCCTCGCCCACCCTAAGTTTCATCACCTCTTCCTTCACTGTTGTCTTCCTCCTGATGTGACTGTGTAGTAGCTTTGGTTCGGTCTTGGCTTTATTAGTTATATCAATTTCATACTTTTTCTCAGCTTCTTTTCTCACACTAACATACTCGTTCCTGGTTCTCTGGTATCTCTCTCTACTGACTGGTGTTCTGTTATTACGGAAGTTCCTCCACGCCCTTTTGTTCAGTTCCTTTGCTGCCATACATGCCCTGTTAAACCACGGATTCTTCTTTTGCTTCTCGTTTTTTTTTTCCTGTCGGGCTGGGATAAACCTGTTTACTGCCTCTTGACAATTTTTGGGTGACATAGTCCATCGTGTCTTGTACGGACTTAGTTCTGAGTTCTGTACCCATGGTATATCCCCCATAGGAATTTTCTTATCTCCTCATAATTTCCCTTTCGGTACGCCAGCCCTTTATTTCCCAGTTCTTTTTGGGGGAGATAATTCCTAGCTCAACCAGGTACTCAAAGTTCAATACACTGTGATCACTCATTCCGAAGGGGGCTTCCAACTTAACTTCCCTTATATCCTACTCATTTAGGGTAAATATCAGATCAAACATAGC